TTGGAAAAAATTAGTTTTAAGATGCATTATCCAAAAAAATTAATTTTAAATATATAAAAATTTATTTAGAAATCGAGACCATAAAAAAATAAGGTTAAAACTCCATTTTGGTCCCTAAACTATTGTATAGATCCTTGATTTGGTCATCAAACTTAAACAATCATTAATTTTGTCCCTATTGTTTACCATTTTAACCTCAACTTGATCCTTATGTTAAAAGCCTCATGACGTGTCCTGTTAATTCATGGCTACATGATGACATGGCAAAATATTAATACATGTGAAAGACAACATGACAAAAAATAATGACATCGAAAAAATAATAATATGAAAAAAAAAACTTAAAAAATTCTTTCCTTTTTTCTTTTCCCTTTTCTTTCCCTTTCTCTTTCCCCTTTTCTTTCCCTTTCTCTTCCCCCTTGGAACCCAAGTTACCCAATGGCTATTGGGTTCGATGCAACCTAGGTGCGAGTTCAATGGAACCTAAGTGCTGGGTTCCTTCGATCTTAGGCATGGGTTCCTTGGAACCTAGCATGCCTGGGTTCCATCGAACCCAGGCATAGGTTCCTTAGAACCTAGGGGCAAAAATTTTTTTTAAAAAAATCCTATTTTTTTTGTGAGTTATGTTATTTGATAATGAAGATGAATTAATTGGTGAAAAACGGAATTCCATTTCATTGAATTAATTGTTTGATTCAGAAAAATGGTGATGAAAGTTGACTCGAAGGAGGCAAAGAAAGAGAAAAAGAAGGATGAATGAAGAAGATCAGAGAAAGAGGATGCTAAAGAAAGAAAATGAAGGCAAAATTGAAATTTTGGTGGGCTCCACTTTTTCTTTTTTGTGTTCGGTAAAGATATAACATGTCAAGTTGCCATGTCATCATTTTTATATGATATGTTTCAAATTTTTGACATGTTATTAATTTCCTGTGAGTTAATTGTGAGTTAATGGTGGATTTTTAATGGAATGACCAAGTTGGGGTTAAATTAGTAAACAGTATGGATCAAATTAGAGATTTTTTAAGTTTAGGGACTAAATTGAGAGTCTACACAATAGTTCAGGACCAAAATGGGGTTTTAACCTTCCTATAATAATGTGAATTTATAACAAATAATTAATTTTAATTAATATTTTATATATTTTTAATAGTTTTA